CTTGATGTTTGTCCATGCAAGATACAAAACATAGAATGTATATAGATGTAGTTTATGGTTTGAAATTTGTTAAATTCATGGAATTTTGAATTATGGATGGAGTTATCTTCAAATATATGAATTTGGGAGTATTCTTGCATAAATTGAGTGAGTTTAGCATGAAATTGAACCTTTGAATGTGTCTTTGGAGCTCAAACAAAATTATGAAAATTCCAGAATTCGAACTGTCTGCTCGAGGGAAGAAAGTCTCGCTCGAGCGTGAAAATTAAACTCCTAGAAGTTTTACAGAAATTTGCATTATGGCTCAAGCGGCAAACCTTGCGCTTGAGCGAACTCTGTTTTGCAAAGCTACTCACTCGAGCGGCAGAAGTCTCGCTCGAGCTTAAAATTCATGTAACCAGTACTTTTACAGAGTTTGCAGACCTCGAGCAACCAAAGCTACGCTCGAGCGGAGAGTCCTGGTTTCAGGAAATTTTGAAAAATTGTTTTATGTTCTGTTTTTCGTTCTCTTTCATTTCTAAGCACTTTTAGGCATGTATTGAGCATTATAAATGAACTAAAGGGATAAGAAAGAGGCCTAAGAGAAATAAATAAGTTAAGAATGGATTGAATTGTTTGTGACCCAATGTGTTACGAAATGTGTAGGGTCAGGCACGAGGGTAAATCCATCGGCGGAACACTGTGAGTAATATCTTAGTAAAGATACTTTCAAGTATGCTATTTTTCCAAATGCTACTTCTGTATAAACTTCATGGATTTGTTGATTTGAATACAAAAGCATTGGGCCCAAGGCCGTTTGAGTATGAATATGATTATGAATCCAAGTATAAAATGCGCACCAATATGAATGTGAAAATAATGGGCTAGAGACTGTTTCATACGATGATTGGGCCCAAGGCCATTTGACATGAATGAATTAGGTCTAAAGTCATTTGTTAATAATGAATTGGGCCCAAGGCTGTTTGTTAAAAATGAATTGGACCCGAGGTCGTCTGTTAAGAATGAATTGGGCTTGAGGCCGTCTGTTAAGAATGAATTGGGCCTGAGGCAGTTTGATAAGAATGAATTGGGCCTGAGGCCATTTAATATATTTGATAAAAATATGAATGGGCCTAAGGCCGTTTGATGTTTTTGACAAGGATATCACCTATTAGAGAATCTCATTCGTATAACTTCTTTACTTTGGTATTATTTACTGGGCTTTCGCTCACCCTTATTTATATGTGTATAGGTGAACAAAGAGACGTCCAAACCCAGCCTTAGTGAAGGATGTGAGAGAAATCCAAGTTTTTGTGAAGTCAGTCTGAACGTCTCACGTACGAGACTTTGTTTTTGTTATTTTGTTTTACCCATTTTTTGCTATTTTGATGGATTCGTTGGATCACCTATGTACATAAACCTTTTGTTCGGTTGGCCATATGTTTGTATGATCCTGGATGAACAAGATATTTATTTTGGTTTATGGTGTGAGTTATTATTACATATGTGGAAAATGTTTCGGTGCCATATAAGCATAACTCAATGGACAAAAAATTTTAATACTGCTTTTGTTTGGCCCCCTTTACTATTATAATGTATGTTTGGTTTTGTTTGAAGCCGTAGGTAATCTTATGATTATTGGCCAATTATGACCTTAACCTACAGGAGCGGGTTTGGGTTATGACCGGAGCCATATATTTGTATGATCCTGGATGAACAAGATGTTTATTTTGGTTTATGGTGTGAGTTATTATTACATATGTGGAAAATGTTTCAGTATACCATGTAACATAGCTCAATGGACAAAACTTTTTAAGACTACTTCCGTTTGGCCCCTTTTACTATTATAATGTATGTTTGGTTTTGTCTGAGGTTGTAGGTAATCTTATGATTACTGGCCGATTATGACCTTAACCTACCGGGACGGGTTTGGGTTATGACAGGGCCCACGGGACCCGACATGGACCAGCCCAAGCTTGCACCCGAGTGGGCTGGGTCGGGCCAAATTTATACCCCTAGCAGCCATGGACTGATATTTGCATTGTCGGACGGTTTCGGGAGGATGATCGTCGAACTAATCCCCGATTAGAACAAAGAAAGAGCCTCCCAGGAGTTCGAGAGAGCTCAAGTTCACTGAAATTCAAGAAAGCCTCGCCATGTACACACACATACATATATATACACAAATAGAAACATTTGTACTTCGTTGCAGTTTATCGTAGCATGCCAAAAATTGCCTGGAGCTTGACAAGAGAGAAGATCACAATTAAGTTTAGTATATATAGTGGCATAATGTTAAATATTCGAAAAAGGGTAAGTATATTTAAGTAATTTTCTAATTTCACTGCACAATCTCCCACGATCTCATTTAACAACTTTCAATTTTAAACAAAAGTCACTATAAGTTGTTACATAATTTTTTCTATTTTTCTCTACACTTTTTTTTTGGTAAAAAGTCAAAAAAATATTAAAATAACATATTTCCAAACGAGACCTAGTAAAATATGAAACACTTTTACAAAATTTGTACCAAACAATCTGCTTTAACTTTTTGAGCATTAATACAGAGTTTTAAAAGTAGAGCTCTAAGTTGAGCTCTACTAATATGGCAACGAAAAAAAAAAAGGGGGCAAACTTCATTTTACCCCCCTGTGGTTTAGGCCGAGTGTAGTTTACCCCCTTGACATTCAAAAATCACCACATAACCCCCATGTGGTTTATGGACCAAAGCGCACTGTCAGCTTTTCCATCTAAATTAACGGAATGTGAGACTCACGCGCCTAGAAGAGAGTAAGTTGATTTTTAAGACTAAATTACCCCTCATTCACCTTCAAATTTACAAAATATACCATTCTTCTTCCTTCTTTCTTTACTGTTTCTCTTTTTATGGTGGGATGAAGATGAGGTTTGGAAGCTTGTAATTTGGGAAAATTGGAGTGTTTGGGGAGAAAATGGTGACAATGAAGAAAGAAGGAAATCAGAGCTAGTCTTTAAGAGGTTTACTCAATGGCTTTACTACAATTAATATAGATTTAGCCTCCTACAATGCTCTAATGGCAAATGATTTTCAAATTTAACAGTTACATGGTGTACTCAACACAATTAGCTGGGGCATTATGATGCCAATTGGCCTTTTGGTGGCAAGATATTTGAAGGCGGTTGGATCGACAGCGAACCCTTTATGGTTCTACCTCCATATTGTTGTTCAACTCTCAGCCTATATAATCGGCTTGGCAAGAGGTGCAACTGGGTTTCTTCTTCTCAGCAAATCTTCTGGTATTCATCACCCTTACCATCTAGGCATTGGGATTATACCTTTTTCCCTTTGACTACTTCAGGTATTACAACACTTTGCTCCACAAATCTATTATCAGAATATATATAATAATTTAAGATTGTTTGTTTGTTCTTTTTAATTCTTATTATTATTTTATAATTAGTGGGTACGTATCATGCTAACAAATCTTTGTTTTTGTGTTTAGGTCTCTGCTCTACTTCTGCAACCTAGCAAGGACCACAAGTATAGGTATCTCTGGAATTTGTTCCACCATAACACGGGATACACAGTCATTCTCTCGAGCTTCTTCAACATATGGTTAGGATTCAGTATTTTGAAAATTGTAAGAGGCTAAATCTATATTAACATGTGAAAAATGCTGGGTTTTCTAGTGTTTTGCATCAATCAAAATTTTTTGAAGTTGAAATTTGTTAGAGTTGGCAGAAAAAAGAAAATATATGTGTATATATCTATATATATGTGCAGGTTCAATTCAAAAGAAAGAAGAAAGAAAGAAAATAGGTGTGTGTGTGTGTATATATATATGTGTGTGTGTGTGTATATTTGCATGTTTAATTTAAAAGAGAGAAGAGGAAAAAGACAGGGGTATAAAGGAAAATTTATTCGTTCTGTTAACAGAAGTTAGTGTGCGTTTTAGTCCACAAGCCACATAAGGGTTATATGGTGATTTCCGAATGTCAGGGGGGTAAACCGCACCCGGCTCAAACCACAGGGGGTAAAGTGAAGTTTGCCCAAAAAAAAAAAGAAAAAAGTAATGATACATAGCACTAATACTAGAGTTCTAAATGGAGCTCCAGTGAGGTGGAAGTTCTAAATGGAGCTCTAGTGAGGTGGAAGATAGAGAGAGTAGAGAGAGATAGAGAGATGAGTGTGGGTCTCACCTTCACATAGACACTTTTTACATTATTAGAGCTGCATTAGAGCTCTCAAATTAGAACTTTTAAACATTATTCAAAAAAAAAAAAGAAGGTACAAACATCACATCATGGGTGGAGGCCGGCTCATTAGAACTCCTCTAAAGCTCTATATTTAGAACTCCTAATCTTTTTCCTAACTTTTTTTAAGTTAACAACTGTAATTTGCATTAAAAAAATCTACACCAAACAGGCACATTGTATATTAAGTGGGTGTTTAGAATTGGTTTTTTTAGAGGTGTTTTTGACTTTTGTAAAAGCTAAAAAAATTAATGCATCTGAAAAATTGTCAAAAAATTAATCTAACATTTGACTTTTTTAGCTCATAACAAACAATATATATACACATATTTTTTTGCTATTTAAGCTAAAAAGTTGGCTAATGGAGTGCATATTGAACACTCTAAATAGTTAGATAGTAAAAATTTACTACAAATAAACAAAAATTCAAACAAAATACATATAGATTTTTGTTTAAATTTTTATTTATTTGTAGTATTTTTTTTAAAATGTAAGTTAAATTTTTTTAAAACTTTTTAAATGTATCTTAATTAGATACATTTAAAAAAAATACAAATTTTTTTTATTAAAATATAAAACATTCATTAAAAATAACAAAAACTTAACTTAAAAATATTTTTTTAAAAACCAAATGAAACAGACTAATTTCTCAAAGTTGGTAAAAAAAAAATATTATTATTATTATTATTATTATTATTATTATTTATTTTTATTTTTTTTTAATTAGATATAGTGATAAATATCTTCCAAGTAAACCCCATCGCCTCTCCTTGTAAGTTGTAACTTTAGCCCTCTCTTTCTTCGATTCCCCAATTTCACTAAACCCTAATAAAACCTCCTCCCTCTTCTTCTGCCTGTATTAGGGTTTCTCTCTCTCTCTCTCTCTCTCTCTCTCTCTCTCCCCCTCTCTCTCTCTCTCTGTGTAAACAAGCACGAGAACAAAGTAGAAGAAGATGATGTCAACAAGTCTCGTGCTTTTAAGAAAATCCGCTTCGAAGCGAGCTTCTCTCGCCGCGTTGACGAGCTCCGTCGAATCTCTCCTTAACAATCACACTCGAAAACACTCTCATTTCCTACCATCTCAATCTGAGCCCATTGTTTCCAGAAATGCTTCTTCCTCAATCGACTGGTTCAGTGGAGTGGTTGGTCGAAGAAGTTTTCATTCTGGGTCGGCCTTGAATTTTAGGGTTTCTGTCCCTTTGATGCAAACTGAGTATGCCGTGGCTGATTTCATGGACGACGACAAGTCTGATGATGGTCTTGTGATCGCTAAGCTTGGGATATCTGATCAGATTGTTTCTGCTTTGGAAAAGAAGGGCATCACCAAGCTCTTCCCTATTCAGGTCTACATTTCTTTACATTGTTATTGTAATTCGCATATATGTGTATATGTCTCATAAAGAGAACTTGGATTTTTTCTGTTTATTTGATTTGCACTTGTTGATCTTGATTATATCTCATAAAGAAAGAAAGCAAAGGTTGCATTTTCTTAGGGCTGTTTGGTAACGTACGTTTACGTTTTCGGTTTATATTTACAAAAATTTTATAAACTGATTTTTATTTATTTTTTGTTTATTTTTAAAAAAACATAAACTACAAAAGCGTTTGATAATTGACAAAATGTTTAAAAAAATTTAAAAATATAAAAAAGTAAGAAATGGCAAGTGGTGGCAAGTGGCGGCGGAAGACGGTGGTGAAAAGTATAATTCATATTCTTTATCCTAACTTGATTTCACATGCAAACCCAAATCTTAACAATTTGGGTGTGTTTGATAACGTTTACGTTTTCAGTTTATATTTACAAAAATTTTATAAACTGATTTTTGTTTATTTTTAGAAAAACATAAACTACAAACGCGTTTGGTAATTGACAAAATGTTTAAAAAATATAAAAAATATAAAAAAGAGTGAAAAATGGCAAGTGGTGGCGAAAGACAATGATGGAAAGTGGTGACGGTGGGTAGTAGGTAGCTGGTGGTGGGTAACGGTGGCAGGTGGGTGGGTGACCGTGGCGGTGTGGTGGGTGGTAGCGAGTGGGTGGTGGCGATGGCGGTGGCGGGTGGGGGTGGCAGGTGGGTGGTGAGTGGTGGCGGGGGATGGTGGTGGCGGAAGATGGTGGTGGAAAATGGTGGCGGAGGGTGGCTAGTGTTAAGTGGTAAAAAAAAAAAAAAATCGAAAATTCAAAATGGAAACACATTTTTTGAGTTTACATTTTTTGGCCAAATTTATAAACTGAGACCACTGATTTATAAATAAAAAATTTACCAAACAAGTTTTTATTTGAGTTTTTAAAATTTTTATAAATATAAACAGAAAACGTAGTGTTACCAAACGACACGTTAGTGTATATGAAGGATATTAAAGATTTTGTATGATGAGAATTTATGGAAGCTTCTAATTTTATGGAATTTCGCTGATAATTGTTTGCAAAATGTTTATGATTTTCATGGTGCAGTGTGTTTTAATTACTTAAAAAGACGTGACTTGGCTCAACTTGTAATCTCTCTTCTACTTCAAACCATCAGAACCCATCATTTTTGTAGTGTTCAGCTTCAATTATTAAAGTTGCATAGTCATTGAAAAGTTTATCACTTCAATTAGTAAAGTTGGTAAACTTTACCACTGATTTAAAATTTGTTTTAGAAACATGTACTGAATTGCAATTTCCCCATTTTATTATTCCATTGTACAAAGTATTTATATGTTTTTTAAATATTTGCATTGTACAGAGAGCTGTGCTGGAGCCAGCCATGCAGGGACGTGACATGATAGGTCGCGCTAGGACAGGAACAGGGAAGACCCTTGCTTTTGGAATTCCCATCATGGATAAAATCATTCAGTACAATGAAAAGCATGGGTTTGTGGCCTTCAATAGCACTTTTTGATCAACTTGATTTTTTGAAATTTTGCTGCTTAAAGATTTATTTGATTGTATTTTCATTAGGCAGAGGGGTATGGTAGATTGATGGTATCATCTGTGATTTTATATTCTTTACTTTAAATTTTTTTTTTGAATTTCAGTTTCAGTATTTACCAAGCTTGTTCTTTCACGCTTTAAAAAGTTTCTGATCTGCTAACATATAGATGTGGAAGGAATCCTTTGGCATTGATTTTGGCGCCAACTAGAGAGCTTGCTCGTCAAGTTGAGAAGGAATTCTATGAGTCTGCTCCCAAGTTGGATTCACTGTGTGTTTATGGGGGTGTGCCCATCTCGCGCCAAATGAGTCAGCTTGACCATGGCGTTGATGTAGTTGTTGGTACACCTGGACGGATTATTGATCTGATCAAGAGAGGCGCTCTGAATTTATCTGAAATTCAGTTTCTTGTTCTTGATGAAGCTGATCAGATGCTTAATGTAGGCTTTGCGGATGATGTTGAGACTATCTTAGAACATCTGCCAAAGAAACGTCAGAGCATGTTGTTCTCGGCAACGATGCCAAATTGGATAAGGCAACTTACCCAAAAGTATCTAAAAGATCCATTAACAATTGATCTTGTGAGTGTGCGGGTTTGCTTTATTGTTCTTCATCTCTTACTAATTGTATTAACTATCTGTTTTCATCATTGCTATACTTTCTTCCTTGACATAGCTTGCTACACCATCTTTGGTAAAGTTTGGCATTTTGTTGTTAAGTTTAATGTTCACTTTGTGTTCCTGTGATGTACATCATATGCAACTATGATTATTTTCAAAATCTAGAGGTGAAGAAATGATCTATAAAATTTTCATGATGACATTGGTACTTATTCAAACAACTTGGGGCCTATAATTTAAGTAAAAATACTAGTAATTGTAATAATCATTTTGTTGCATAATTTTCATTTAGTGTTGAATTTCTGGTTGTTTGTTTTGCTTTATTGTGTAATTTGAAATGGTTGGTACTAATGTTAGTGCTCTCTCAAGTTACAGTATTACGTCTGCAAGAGGGGAAACAAATCATAATTTGAAATTACCAATGTTGACTTGTGCGGAATTTGTAATGCAGGTAGGAGATTCTGTTCAGAAGCTGGCAGATGGAATTTCTCTATATGCAATTTCGTCGGAGATATTTGAGAAACCATCAATTATTGGGCCTCTCATAACGGTATGATTCCTACATTTGCTTTATTGTGTAATTTGAATCTGGTAACTATGTTGATTTTTGCGCTGCTTCATTTTGTTTCTTTCTTGCAAATGTAGGAATAAGTTATTGAATTTTATGTACTCGTACCTTTGTCAATTTGTCTGTTAGGAACATGCGAAAGGAGGTAAATGCATTGTTTTCACTCAAACAAAGCGTGATGCTGATAGATTGGCATATGCCATGCAAAAAAGTTTCAAATGTGAAGCTTTACATGGGGATATTTCTCAAAATCAGAGGGAAAGAACTCTTTCGGGCTTCCGAGATGGTCGTTTTAATGTTTTAGTGGCCACTGATGTTGCTGCTCGTGGCCTTGATGTACCAAATGTTGACCTGGTGAGTTTTGTTCTTGAAATTTTATTATTGTTCCTTCTTGTCGTTAGTGGTTATTTCATATCTTGTGAACCTATTTTTAATTTTTCTTATTCAAATATTTGTGTTTATCTTCTGATTGTCCAATGGGATTTGAAGCCCTTTTTTGGATTCCGGCAGCATATGGGATTACCTATGTGTTAAGTTAGCCTTATGAAAGGTGTTTTAGGAGCTCATTGATCTTTGTGAGATCTTCCATAATGTACCAAAGGTGGCTTTTTGAGTATACTACCCTTTCCTGACGCAGCAAGCTTTCATACTTCTGTTGTCATCAATACCACCGTGTGTTCGCTATCTTTTCTTCTGTGGTCCAATAGGAGACTTGTTTTTATTCTGCAGGTTATACATTATGAACTTCCAAGCACTTCAGAGATCTTTGTGCATCGATCTGGCCGAACAGGGCGTGCTGGCAAGAAGGGAAGTGCAATTCTCATTTACTCATCAAATCAAATGAGGGATGTCAAGACTATTGAGCGGGATGTAGGATCCAAATTTGTAGAGGTAATATGCTAATTTATAATTAAGTATCCTGTACATGTATGTGTTAAGGTATTCTTCTTTTAACCTGTTTTGAACTAAATAAAACCAACAAAAGTGTCGAATGTTGGTCTGATTTGCTAGCAAGTCACGAGGCAGAATTCTTTGACTGGGTTGGACAATGGAAAGCTTTAGAATGCTGTCGAGCTGATGGCTTGTAGTTCCTTATGAGCATATGGGTGCACTCACACTACTTATTTAGAAATGGAGAACATGTTCTTGCAGTGCTGTGAATGTGCTTTGTAGCAGCGAGTAGATTATTCCTCTTGGATCATGTCTGGCCCAAATCTCAGTCCAAGTATTTTTATTTTCTGGTGTGTTGATATTTGTGCTAACTAATCTTTGCAGGAAATTTAGTTAAATATTGTCCCCTTTCTTTATAGTTTATGAATTTCTCTGTGCAGATGTGTGTGTTTTAACTTCTATCAATGCTAAAGTACACTCATTTTTAAGAGCTATATTAGACTAATTTCTATGTAATCTGTTTGATATCAGCTCCCTAGGATTGCTGTTGCGGGTGGAACCAGCATGTTCAGTGACATGGGTTCCAGCCGTTTCGGCTCTTTGGGAGGTTCAGGTGGTGGTCGATTTGGTGATTCAGGTTTTCGTCGTTCTGGTGGTTATGGTGGTGCTGGATCTGGCCGTTCTACGGGATATGGTGGTCAATCATTTGGTCGTGGGGGTGGTTTTGATGAACCTGGCTCCAGCCGTTTTGGATCTGGTGGATCTGGTTCAGGTCGATCAGGCAGTGGGTTTGGTGGATTTAGCCCAAGCCGCTCAGGCAACTCCAGTCGGACGGGTGGTTTTGGGGACAGTGGTTCAAGTCGTTCTGGTGGATTTGGTGATTTTCGCTCAACCCGACCCAGTAATGGCTTCTTTGATGACAAAATAGGTGGTGATCGGAACACGGGGAGGAACTCATTCTAACTCTGTTGGGAGGTAAGTTTATGAAACTCTTCCACCAGAGATTATAGAACTTAATTTGTCTCATGATAATTTTATTACCTATATGATAATTTAATTTTGATAGTAGTCCAGATCAAATGTATGTGTACATCTTTTATACTTAAACAATGAAGCAAAGAATTAGAAGCAACCGATGTTCCATGTTATTGTATGTATGTCAAGTGTAGGGTACCATCATTTTGGTAACTCTATTTTACTATATTATGTAATCGAAATGATGAGTTTGACCTAGATTTTGTCATGCAACAAACATTAAAAAGTTCTGTACTAAAGACTTTTAGTGTACACACCAAAGTGTGTGTTGTGGTGTAGTTTTATACACAAATTAACCTATTGGGGTTCATATGATTGGTTTGACACCAACTTGTGTGTTGTGAAGTAGTTGTTTTCATTCACATGCTTCATGATGTTTTCACCTCTTAATTGCAGAAACGAGAAGTACAAAAGTTCCGCTTTGAGGATTGGATTGAGTCAGGCAACAATGGGCTATTTGGAGTAACCGGGCAGTTGCAGGTGGGGGGTTGTATGCTCTACTATTCCGTGCTTCTCTGATCTGGTTCTATTAGTATTAATATAGTTGTCATTTTAAGATCATATTTTGATGAATGGTCTTTTGCTTATGATTATTAGATATGAAAAGAAAGTCTCCTATATGTAATCAATCTTAAATCTCAATTTATGGAAGATACTAATTTGTCTTTTGTCTCCAGCAGTGTAATGTATTCTAGGTTCTTGTTCATAATTTGTTTGAAATTGATTCAAAGTATGAGAGAGTTTTTGAACATGTGGCTGTAGTGAGAAATTTGGCAGGTCTATTTAGAAATACTCTCCCCTTTATGGTGGCTGGGCTCAATTTCAATGTGGTTGATAAAGTTTATATCGCAAGAGCCACCTTGCGTTTAAGGTGGCTTATTATTTGGAATTTATTTGTTTTTTGTTCCATTAATTTGATAGCTTGTTACTGATTTAAAAGACAATTTTGTAGCTTCTTTTTGTTGTTGCTGTTGTAGTTGTAACTAAAATCGATACTAGCTAGTATTAAAAGTTATACATATTAATAATAGTGAGTAATAAAATGGTCGCTTCTATTTGTTACTTTGAAATTTATGCATTTCATTTTTTAATAGTTTTTATTTAGATTTAAATGATTTTTTATATATTTTATTTATTTTAGATAATTTACTCTTTTCTTACTCTCTTTAATTTTGTATGTTTATCAACTTTTTATCTCTCTTTCGTCACACTAATAGAAATTTGAATTTGAGACATTTCTCTTCATCACGTCCTTGGTTGTTGAACCTCTCAAATGTTGTATTCATAATTTGATTCTATTATAAAGCTGAAATAATGTAAATAGAGAAATTCAACTACTTTGAAAAACACCTAATTAGATGAATTGTATAGCGCACGGAAAATAATAATTAAAATTTCTTTTTGAGATACAACTTATTTTCCAAGCATAATAATAATAAGTTAAAGTGGGTTTATATTTTCAAAACAATATTACATTTTCAAAACATGATTTCATAAAATAATATGAATCTGACCCCTAAAAAATCAAATTGGTTAGTTTTATATAATTTGCTTTAAAATTATATGAGTTCAATAAAGCAAAAAACTCATGATGATGGTTAAGTTACATTTTGACCCCTTGAAGTTGGGCTAAAAAATTGTGAACTTATAAATGCACCTTTTCAAGTAATTCTACCTTCATTTTACATGAACTAGACAAAATTTTTATTTTTTCTTATGTACGCCCATTTCACCCATCTTCTCGCCACCCTCGCCTCCCCACCTCTCATTTCCTGTATTCAGTTACTCATTTCCTCTAATTTCTTTTCTTTTTCAAGTAAATCTCTTTATAATTTACAGAATTGGCGAGATCGTAAATGATTGTTTGATTACTCAAACAATGTAAAGACATCTCGAGTGGTCTTAGTCAACTAAACATGTAAAAAGTCATGATTTAGTAGATTTCGAGAGGCCTAATGTCACTTTTTGACCAGTCTTTCTATTGTTCTTTTTCTATATACTTAGGTGTTGTTTGATAAATTTAAAAATTAAAAATTAAGTACTACAAATTCAATGTTGAATTTTCTAATGTGAGAATTGTTATGTGTTTATTGAAATTTGTGTGCTAAATTTAATCAAATAGTTTGGTATGTAAAATAATACAAAAAATTTAAAATTTAATTTACATTTTAAAATTTTCCTCCTACTCTTTTTATAACTATGGTAGAGGGTTGGTAGCTACGTCCTGGTGATAATGGCAGTGGTGTTAGAGTGAGTGGCGGCAACATCAAAGGCGTTTGGTTGTTGTGGTTGAATTGAGTTGCTTAGTGTGTATAAGTTCACATAATTATTTGACAATTTCATTTGAAAAAATAATAAAATGGATTGATTGCTTTCCATATGGTGAGACCATGAACATAACCAAGGTGTCCTACTACATGCCGTAAATTTTGATGTTAGGTAAATTAGTGTGTGATTCATGTGATGCACGAAAATTTATTTTTAAAATAAAAAATTAATTTTAAGTCTTAATATTTTGTGAAAATAAAATTAATAATTGAAAGTCAAGTACAAATAGATTTGTTAATGACTGATAAAAATTGTTGTTATAGCGATCCTGGTTATCCCTTTACTGTTCTGTTGTATTTCGGACTCGGTTCCGTGAGGCTGGTAGTTGTATCTATCTTGTGTCGTCCTTGAATTCCGCTTGATTGAGTTTTAGGATGTTTTGGGCAGGGTTGTTACAGGTTGGTTAGGCTTTGGTTTCAATTCCTTGTTGCCCAGTTTTTAGGCGTTCCGCTCGAGCGAGTCTTCTTGCGCTCGAGCGGAGATTGCACAACCTCAGTATTTTCGTGTCCCTGCAAAACTTCTGCAGGTGTGATTTTTACGCTCGAGCGGGTTTCTCTACGCTCGAGCGGTGGCGCTCGAGCGGGTAGTACCTTTGGGTGTAAGTTCTGGGAAGGGGAAATCTACGCTCGAGCGGACTGGTTTTCGCGCTCGAGCGGGTTTACTTTATTCTTGTGTCTTGGCGCTCGAGCGGGTCTTTTTGCGCTCGAGCGGACCTAATTTTTGTTCTTAACGCTCGAGCGTTGTGTTTTCCGGTCGAGCGGGAATGTCGTATATCAGTTGGCTGTGGGGCAGTTTTAAATCACTTTTTCTCATTCTTTCTCTCTCTTACTTTTCCGAAAGAGCCATTTGAGAGCTTCTCTCTCTAAAACCTTGCCTTCTCTCTAGATATTGATCTAGCTAGGGTGTTTTCCTCACCTTTGGCCTTTACAAAAAGATTGTTGATCGTCGAAGGCTATCTTTTGATCCGAGAAACTCGTGGTTTGGGGCAACTTCGTCTACACCATCTTCTTCGTTGGGTGTCATCTTTGAGGTAGGGATTCCTACTCACTCTTATGGGTTTTAACCTAGATTTTGAGCTTATTGTTTAAATGGTTGAGTTTAGGACTTAGGGTTTAAAAATGGGTTAAAGAGGGTTTTGTGATTTTGGACTCATAATAGGTATTTTGAGTTTCAAAATGATGATATAGTTGGTGTTATTTGAACTTTTAAGTTGATATTGAGAGTTCGGGGTAAAAGCCCTAATTTGTTGTTTAAAATTAATTGGCATAATTAATTTGGGAAGATTGTAACTATATGGATTTGAGTTGGAAATAATGAAATTGACTCATTATATGGTTGAATAGTGGAGTTAGATTTATTAATCGCTCATTTTTGAAAACATTGATATTTTAACTGTTGGAGCTTTTATTAGCTGTTTAGAAATAATTGCTTAGGCTACCGGTGGAGGGTAGTTTTGATTGTTGTAGACAATGCATGATGATTAGGCAAACTAAAACTAATCAATTGGATATGTCATAGAGTATAACGGTTGACAGAATACATTAACGTTATGTATTGATTGATTGTGTATATGACCTTTGTGTACATATGCATTGTGTGTGTGGGAGGAGATATGGGATGTACTCCACGGTTTAGGGGAAGATAGGGGATGGACTTCTAAACCGGATGTTGTTTGGGAGGAGATAGGGGATGGACTCCACTGATACAGCTCATATGCTTGTCAGATAATATATTGATATAGCTCATATGCTTATCTTTGGAAATGTTGATACAGCTCGTATGCTTATCATTGGAAGTGTTGATATAGCTAATATGCATATCTGTTGAAATGTGGATACAGCTTGTATGCTTATCTGTTGAGATGTTGATATAACTAATATGTTTATCTATTGAAAATGGGAAATGTCTAATATGAGTCACTGTCTCATAGAAATGGTTGGCCAGGTTCTGAGCCGTTGATGTAAATTGTGAAATTGAAATGAAATATGAACATGGTGGTCATGAAATAGAAATGGGTTATGAATTGATTTATGGAAATTGATTATTTATCAATTGCTAATGTCTTAGTCATTACTCATACTGTGTTTAGCATATCTCTACTGGGCGTTGGCTCACCCTTTATGGGACATTATTTTCAGGTACAGGTAGTATGCCACCTCCAAGGACATAGCTTGGATGATGACGAGAGTTGAAGACTCTTTTTTTTTGTTTATTTTGATGTATTACATGTAAATTCAAGCCTAGGGCTTAATATGTACTGAGTTAGTACTCTTCTTTTTGTAACCAAGTGTTAACTTGGAAAGCTGTAAGCCCATAGGGCATTTGCTTTTGTTGTTAATATGTAATACAGTTGTAAGATTTACTCTGATGAATAGAAATGGTTGATTTCTTTTGTATCAATGCATGTCTAAAATGTTGGGTGTTATGTATTATTTTGAGGGCGTTACAACTTGGTATCAGAGCGTACCAAGTTCGAATACTTTGGGTACGTGGGAAGTGATTAGGATCACAATGGGTTTGTCTCGCTTGATAGAGACTTAGATGTAGTGTCATATGCTATGTGCTTAATTGATAACATGCTTATGTGACTATGTGGGTATGGAATGTAGTTTCTAGGATGTTGATTGGATCCTTGGGTTTCTGTGAGACTTGTTGGAAAGGCACGTGATCAATGTTGTTTCTAACCGGAACTCTAGTAACGCCTCGGGACTATCATTATCCGGAAATGAAATTCGTAATGTGCTTACGTGAAATGAATTACAGTTGTCCATGCATTAGGACGCGAGTGTTATAGCTTCGGCACATTTGTGAATGTACCAATAGTCTTGGTTACCTTTATTAGGATGTCAGGACGAGGGCGTGGTAGGCGTGGCAGGCATGGTAGGCAGGAGGTACCTTTACCGGATGACGTTCCGGCAATGCATGAGGGAGTTGGTCAGGCCAACGTGGCCGAGCCAGCGGGTCAGCAGGCTAGAGATAGCGGGAGCTTTGGGTATTCTCAGAGCTGAGAATCAGGTTGCTGAGGCAGGGCCTTCTTTCTTGAAGAGGGAATTCTTCCGGTCTAATCCGGACAAGTTTGTTGGGGATCCAAAGGAGCCACTTAAGGCTAACGAGTGGTTGGAACAGATGGAGAAGACGTTCGAGATGCTGGGCATCGAGGACGAGGCTTTGAAGGTGACCCTGGCATCCTTCCAGCTGAAGGGAGATGCGGGTCAATAGTGGAAGTACGAGAAGGGCAATGTTGGTGGTGCATGGGAGGCGTTTGTGAATACTTTCCAGGAGAAGTTTTTATCTTCAGCTGCAAGGGAGAAGCTGAGGGAGCAGTTTTGCCAACTTAAACAGCAGGGCTTGTCAGTGGCCGAGTTTGAGGCTACTTTTACTAGTCTGTCCAGGTTTGCACCTGAACTGGTGGCGTCCAAGGAA